CGAAAACGAAAAGCAAAAATTTTGAGTTACCTTGTGAAATTTTGTAATTCTTTCAAAGCGCGAAAACGTTGTTTGGTCAGAGAATCTTGTAGGCAGTTTTTCATTGCTTTCTAGATTTTTTTGATTGTAAAATTATTTTGGTATGAATACTAGCGAATTGTGTGGAACGTTGTCGATAGGTTACGGGGAACGGTAATTATCGAAAATTTTAAAATTTCGGACCAAACTAACGTCGATGGGGGTCATCCGGTTAAAACATTTTAACCATTACGGCGTACAAAAACCCATAAGTGTCAAGTATAAATATGTTAGAAAATTATTGTACTTGTCACATTTTTTCTGTAACTATGATGGTTGCGTATCGGATGACAATAAATACTTCAGACAAAAAAAACAATTTATTTACTTTATTTATTTATTTTATATTATGTGTCTCAAATGATGTTTTTAACAGAATTGAATCACTGTTTATAGTACTCGCTTATATTTAAGTTTTTTTACAATGACAGTTTAATAAAATCATTTTCATTTTATCCTCCCTGTATAATTTTTGTTGTTGTAATTACTACTATCATTCTTATTAATAAAATAACATTATTTAATTAATTGTTATATTACTAGTGTACGAATTATGTATTTATAAATTTTAACAATTGGAAAAACTCTACAAAGTCACAAGCAATACGGGTAGTAAAAAAGTGGATAGTTATCGTTGTTAATATTTTTTTCGAGATTTCACCAAAACGGTCGATAATATCTCCAGGGGTTCTCACGCTTTCGCTCTCGCGGGCGGCAACCTTTGACACGGACACAAAAAGCGAGTAGCCGCACCAGACGGTGGCGGGACAAATAAGGTGAGAACCGCGCTTAATTGACAAATTGCCCGACGTCGACATCCACGTAAACTAATTCGATAATTACTGTTTTCGAAAACGGCAGATGTGTATACCTCTCAACTTAACTGGTAACAATTACCCATCGCTATACGCAATTATTTGATTAATTTCCAAATTGCCCCCGCACGGTATATACGAGGTTTCGATAGTCAATTGTTTTATTAAATAGGTAAATTAAATATATACGCCCGATATACGGGGCCGCTAACGATATAATTGGAGTACATAAATCTACAAATTGAGAGACCTAATAATAGAAACGACAAGGTGGCTTCAGTGGTAAACTTTCATAGTGACTATTTTTTGAAATCTAAAATCCGAGGTACACACACGTCTATATCAAACACAAAATATGATAATATTCCGACATCTATTGGTTGTTTTTTTTCGATGTATACAACTTTAAGTTGGCATTACTGTTCAAGATGGCGACCGATTTAACAGCTGTCAAGTGATTTATTCTCAGTTTGGTTTGGCAATTCATCATGAATAGACTCACGCCTGAACAACGCTTGCAAATAGTGCAATTTTATTTCGAAAATAATGGTTCTGCGCGGAGTACGTATCGCGCACTACTTCCATTTTATCGTCGACAAAATCGTCCATCAGAGCAGTTAATTCGATTAACCATGGAACGTTTTCGCACCACGTTTACTCTTATTGATAACTCGCATCCCCAGAGACGCCGTACGGTGCGTACAGAAGAAGCTATTGCTGCTGTAGAGCGTAGCATTGAGGAAGACCCGAATGAGTCCATCCGCCATCGAGCACAGGAATTGGATCTGTGTCATCCACTTTATGGAAGATTTTGCGGAAGGATCTTGGTTTACGTGCTTACAAAATCCAACCCGTGCCAGAATTGAAGCCAAACGATCATCAGGTAAGGCGTAGATTCGTCGAATGGGCCCAAAACGAGATTGCCGTTGTTCCCAATTTTCATGAGCGAATTTTGTTTAGCGATGTAGTGCACTTCTGGTTGAATGGCTGCGTCAACAAACAAAACTGCCGCATTTGGAGCAAAGCTAATCCTCAATTGTATGTCGAAACACCGTTACATCCAGAAAAACTGACTGTTTGGTGCACTTTGTGGGCGTGATCATTGGTCCGTATTTCTTCAAAAACGATGATGGCCAGTACGTTACAGTCAATGGTGAACGGTATAGAGCTATGATTACTAACTCTTTCATTCCTGAATTGAATAACCATGATGTCCAGGAGATGTGGTTTCAACAAGATGGCGCAATATGTCACACAGCTCGTGCCACAATTGATTTATGGAAAGACACGTTTGGTGACCGCCTAATTTCACGTTTTGGACCTGTGAATTGGCCTACAAGATCTTGTGATTTAACACCGTTAGACTACCTTCGGTGGGGCTATGTAAAGCCATTGGTCTATGCGGATAAGCCACAAACGCTTGACCATTTGGAAGATATACGGCCACAAATGTTGGAAAAAGTCATCGAAAATTGGACGTCCAGATTGGAAAAAAAAACACCCCTTATATACACAATCAGGTATTAATAGATTCTTACCGATGTAGGGTTATAAATTTGGAAGCTATGGCGATTAATTAAATGAGATATTTGATTCTATTACTTAATGACCAGTTGGATTTAAACGAGTCTCCTGCGTCTGTTAAATTTAAATTTATAACCCTACACCGGTAATTAAGAATCTATTACTAATTGATTGTATATATAAGGCACGATGTTGTAAAGCTGTCATAAAGTAATACATGACTACGAAAATCTGAACATTTTTTGGTCTAACTTAATTCTGTTTATTTTTTTAATCTTTCTAATTTAAAATACAGTAATTTATTACGAAATTTTTGAAACATTTTATTTCTCTATACATACTTTTAATAATTTTTAAGGTGTTTGTAGAGTAAGCGTCTTCAACGTGATAGTAGAAAACAAAGACAAATCACCTGAAAGGTCAAAACTTGAATGGTCTACGAATTAACAAACTATAATCGTCATTCGTAGAAAAATTATCGTAGGGTAAGCCGGTAAGATAAGCCTCATCAAATTTGTTTTTACATAATTTGTACAAGCATAGCCGTAAGACTACACAGGCTTTGCTGCTTTAACAAGGATATGCAAAAAGGACAATTGAGGTGAACGGGTGTAAGTGAAGCAGGGCCTATGGGATTGCATCTCGAAGCTCTGCTATCTAGAAGTTCCAAAGTGCACTAAAGTCGTTGCCCAGAATTAGGAATTAGGAACATGACCGAAGAGTTATCAAAGATATAAAAGTTTTCGAGAAAGTGGGGTTTGCTCATCAGATTCTCGCTGCGTAAAGAAAATGACTTTTTTATTTGCCGGGAAGCTTGCGATTTTTTAGAGAAGCAAAATCAGCAAGAGATGAATGGTTTCTACCTTCAACGTCAGTGCTTATGAAACGGTTCTTCTATTCCCTACATAAATTCAGAAGAGTCAGATCTAGGAGAGATACGTTCTAAATTCTTATTCGTTACTAAGTTTTTTACAAAAGAAAGCAACCATCTATTTACAAATGTTCTGAATTCCTCCTGCTTCAGTTGTTAATGAATCGAAGTTGCTAACGTTTCGCCAATAATTAGGTTGGCTTTTTCAGAGCTTAAGCTTAACAGAAACTGATTTGCATTCTACTCGGCACATGCGTATATTCTGGGAGGGAGGTGGAGTTAAAGATCGGACATAAACATTCTCTCGGATGACTGATTCACATATTCGTCAATGGTAAGAACCTGAGCCGGATATCCGGTTTCATTGTTATGTTCGCCAACTGCTGATGATATTTTGCGTCCTCTCTCTCCAATGTATTTTTCGCCGCATATGAATGGAATGTTGTAAACTCCTGGTGTGTCAAACAGAATTTTGTCTTTGATTGATTGAAAACGTTGAGAAATTTTGGGACCAGCGGTAAATCTGAATTTAACCTTAAATTTTTTAAGAACTTTTGATATGTGGAATGTTTTCGATGTAAAGAAGGACGTAGTGGCAAGTGTGGGGGTTGCTTTCGAAATCATTTTGTTTCGGAGCTTGTGGTCAAGTGTATTTTGTAATGGAACGCTTAATATCTCTATTTTGTAAATTATTTGATAGAACAACAGATGTTAGATGTTTTAATTCTGGGTCCAGTGATTCGGTTTGAGATAGTTTTACGGTAACGAGAGTTGATAACCGATAATTGTGTCAAAATTCCAAAGCAATTCAGAAGAAGAAGAATATATTTTAAGTTGGGCGTATTTATATGGGAAACACGCTCGATCGCATTCCTTCTTTTATATCTTATATTTTAAAAAACTCTTCCCATAATATAAAAATATGTTCATTATAATAAGTCACATGGCTTAGCTGCTATGTCTATGGAAAAAGAATTAATAATGTAGTCATGTTCATATGTCATAATATATATTTTTCAAAAGGTGGCGCGTTAACTGGTTTACCCTATATGCAACCCTTTCATAAACTTCTTCAGACATTCGCCTCCGCTCGTGTCAAAGTAAACTCGTGATTAAAGAAGCGTTTATTAAAATTGTTGCATAACATATTCTTTTTGATTTTTGATGTTTTGTCTTGACACCCACATACCTCTTTGCTTTCAGCTACCTATATAAGCTTTCTACGTTAAGAAAGATGTCGTCATTAACTTCAAGCAAAATATTTATGCAATCATTGTCCAGGTACTTGGACTTGAATTAGGCGACGCATGTCATTTTAACTGTCAAAATTTGAAATTTTTACATTGTTTTTTTTTTGTAATTCCAATAAACAAAATTATTTATTTAAAACACTTTTTTTTTATATTGTTTCTACCTAATTCGTTAGTTTCTTCACTTCCAAGGCGAATATGTTAGATCTAATTATCAAGATAACTTTTGGTATTATAGGTTATTTTTAAAAAATTAACGTGACAATAATACATGTGAAATCGGAATGTTCCTAAATTTACCATTTAAACAATTTAATTGTTTATATCTCGAATTATATTATATTTCACTTTACTGCTTCAACTCCAATACGTTGAAATTAAATTGTACACTAATATTGTTACAACACATTTCAAAGGATAGAAACCGTCTTGAATTTTTTTCAAAGGAAATCCGGACGAATCTTGAACCCAAATAATGCGCGAAGGGAGTATTCCTGTTGACAAATGAGGCTGCCAAATATTTGGTTCCATTTACTTAAGATCGAATGTGGAATAGGTTGAGTTTTTCTTCTATGGACTACCACAACAACCGACCGTAGTGGTGGGTCAGCAACAACCTAAAATTGACATCGAATTAGACATTAAATTCATCAAAATGACAAATGGCAAAAATGGTCATTGGCATATTTGATTCGAAACCAAATTTATTTGTTTTTACAAAATAGTATCGCATGGGTGATAGGAAGAAAAAAATATTTCTTATTTAAAAATTCTAATGCTCTCTGACATGGTGCACTAAAATTTACTGCACTAAACTTATTTTTGACGCTTTAACAATTTTTAATTTTGATTTTGTATTATTATGCTGTATTATTTAGTGTAATTGTTGAAATCTGGATCCCCATATTTAGTCCAAATGAACATTTATCGGAAACAAGAGCGTATATTGAATCCTTATAGTGGTCGTTATAACCTGGAAAATTACTTTTCAAGTTTCTGAATGTAAAAATTTTGTGCATTAAGTTCCAAGAAGTATTTTCTAATTAGGTTCGATTTCGACATAAACCAAACTATTTAAAAAATATTTAGAAAAAGGTTTAGCCATCAACCTTTATGAAAACCCACACTTATTTTGACCGTTACTTTCGGAAAACCTGCTTAATATGAAAGCAAGTTTAAAAACTATCCACAATAGACCTCCCCACCCCCCTCTATCCGAGAGGTATTACTATTAACGGAACTTGTGGATTTTTCCTGCGTCGTTGTTGAATCGAACTTTTGGAAAGCCTGTAGAAGTTTCTTTGAAAAATTACCAAGCTGTAACACTTATCGAAAACGCTGTGTTTTAACGACAATATTCCGTGCCGTATAAGCGTGAATAACCCCGTATATGTAAACGATAAAAAGTTGTTTATATATGTTTAATTAAACTTTAATGCCCCTCGTACGGTTTGAATAACAGTTCAGCTCGCTCGCTGATTTATTTCAATTAATGGAAATATTCACCCGGGTTTCGAAGCTGACCGCTTTTTGTAGCAGACCGGCTCTCACTCGTATCGAAGATCGGCGGTCGCCGCAAGACGGACATTGCAAAAATTCCGATCGTTTTAAATAGATCCGAACGTCTCGGCCGCATATGATAATAATAATAAATAGATTACAACAGAAAATAGTTACTTAGGTTTTTGTTATAGTAATATTTGTCCAAAAACGGGGTTAGGAAGCTTAAGTCTAGCGTAAATTCTTGTAAAAAGGAGTTAAGAAATATTATGAATCTGACCTTTTTTTTTATTCCAACAGCTTAGATTAAAAAAATTGATAAGCAACAAATTAAAAAAACAATAACATGATAAACGGAAATAATTACAGCAATTCGTGATTTGTTGTTTTGGCAAAAAATAAAGCATTTCAGAAATATTTATTCGTAAACTTTCTTAGTTTTCTTTTCGACTTATAGCGAGTATTTTTCCCAATGGTACTTCCGAACCTGAGACTGATACTCATTTATACGACGTCCAAACCAAGAACCTTGGACATGTGTTTAATTTAATTTGAAATTTTTGCAATTTTATCCTCCCATACGTATTTTCCGATTCTCGTTGACCGCACACATTTGCAAAAGACGAGTCCGTCGACTAGACGCTTACCATATAGACGTTTCAGCCTTTTTTTTTCTCGTCCCCCTTCGGAGCCGTACAGAAGAACTCCATGTACGTTCGGTTCAAACGAAACACGTAAATAACGCGGCTTATCCCGGCCAGGATTTAAACCGGACGGTATACTTTATATGTCTTCATTCGGGCTTTACGTACATAATGAGCGGCCGACATTTTCAAACCGATTAGGACTCGGAATTTTTCCGAAAAAAACAAACAAACAAACGCCGATCCGCCATTTTCGCGGTGAAATCGCGTGAGACAAATGTGCGCACGATTTGATTACGAAAATTTCGACATTCCAGAGTTGATTATTTAGTATCATAATTGTGCGCAATTGCCGACTCTTTTTCCCACGACATAAGTGCGGCGCGTGACGTCACAGCGACGCTCCCACACGACGCGACGTTAGAAGCCATCAACTGTACAGGGTTTTTCACCCAACCGGTTCATCAAAAGTTTATTGAGATGTAATTTAAAAACGCCTTTCAATCTGTGATGTTAAAATAAGTGCCAAGCGTACTTCTTTTTTAAAGTGCTTTTTTTTTCAACGTCCCGTCAATTTCGGTTCAACCCATATAGCTACTAGACATATAGAGGCCCTGCCTATGCTGATGTGTAATTTTTTTTGAGAAGGTCCGCGTGCGCGAGATTTAAAATTTCGTTTTTAACCAATAGTAGCTCCTATTGCAAATTCTGACGTTCAACCCATAAGGCCTTGCAGCTTTCAACAGGCAACATGGCCGCTCACACATTGTCAATGTTTTGATACGGCATTTTTACTTCAGTGTTTTCGCAAAATATGTCGAAATCCTATATTTTCAGGCAAAAAAGAAGGTGTCTAAAAGCAGTGCACAATTGCAGCACCTACGCCGGCATCAGTACAATTAATTAGGTGTTTTTGTTCTTTAAGCTCTGTTGATGCGATGCAATTTCTACATGCAGCTTTCATGTAAGCTATTTTTTCCGTTTTTTTTTGCCTGAAACTACCTCAGCAAATAAAAAAAAACGGATCCATTTGTCTTGGGATGCTAAACAAATTGTTTTAAATCATTGTAATTTTATAAGAAATTCAGAAGTGGAGGTAGGAGCAGCAATGAAAACAAGTGAAATGACGAAAGTTCCGAAGTCAACTGTAAGAAAAATTGTTGCAAATGGGATAGTCAAGAGGAAAGTGAGAGAAGATGGTACTTTACACGAAATATTTGAGTACTGGTTTGAAAATAAACTGTTGCCAAAACTATCGCCAAATACTGCTATTGTGTTAGATAATGCCTCTTATCATTCAGCCCAAATTAGAAAAATTCCAAATACTTCTTCAAATAAAAAAAAATTAACGAATTTCTGTACGAAAATGATTTATATTTTGAAGAGAGCAACACGAAAAAACAACTTCCGGAATTATTAAAATTTTAATAAAGGCTACAAAATCGATTGAGAACACCCCCGTATCATTGTATATTTAACCCGTTTGAGATGATTTGGTCTAAGTTGAAAGCGCATATAAGCAGAGATAACACCGCACCACAACTTATAGTACCATAAACGTAATTCGGGAAGAGGTAGCTAAAATATCAGTACAAAGCTGGTCTAACTGTGAAAAACGAGTAATAAAAGTAACAAATAAATGAAAAAATATTTATCAAGAACTTATTTAACAGGATATATGAATGAATCTGGTAAAATTCCATCGGACTGGTTAAAGTCTACCTTTATACATCACCTTAAAAAAATACCCCTAGAATCTGTGGAGACTACAGGCTTAAAAGCCTTATGAGCCATGATCTGAAGATTTTCCTCCGAGTTTTTCACTGCCAAATGAGCGGGTCTGGGTACAAGAAAAGCTAAGCTCTGTTTTCAATGAAACTTCTTATACATAAATGCTAAGATCCACGGCGGGTCGTGTTTATATATTTTATAGAGTATCAGAAGGTTTTTGATAATATTAAGCACGATCTTCTTTTGGAGAGGTTATATGAAATTGGCTTAGATTCGAAGGACATCAAAATAATTCAACAATTGTACTGGAAACAAATTGCTGAGATGAAAAAAAAATGACCAACTAATTACAGAGACATTTTCTATATCCACGTTTTTCTATATCTACCTGGAAACGATTTTCGGTATGCGGACGATACAGCTGTATTGGAAAATTCTCCTGAGGATCTTCAACATACTCTGAATAGAATTAGGCAAATAGGTAAAGAGTTTATGCTCCAAATTAACCAAAAAAAAAAGTTATTTCAATAACCCGCGAACAAAGTGACGTGGGTGTGAGGATTGACGATCAAGATCTGGATCAGGTGTCTCGTTTTGTGCACCTGGGTGCCAGCCTCAATCAAAAATGGGACTGCGATGTAGAAGTAAGGATACAGATGGGGAAACTAAAGATCTTCCGTCTTGCACGTTCTCTTCCACTGGCACTTCGCCTTCGCGTAATAAGGTGCTTCGTAGGACCTAACATTGCTACATGGAGCAGAGACATGGTCCCTAAAAATACGGACACTGAACCGCATAGAAGAAGAAGAAGTCGGTGTGTAGAGAGAGCTTCTATATAGACATCATAAATGAGCGAAAGATATCTTACCTTGGGCACGTTCTTAGAGGGCAAAATAGATGGTCGGCGAGGTCCGGGTCGGAAACAACATTCCTGGCTTCGCAACATAAGGGACACCTGCGGAATAGAAGATGCCGCTACATTCATTCGGCACAACGGAGAACGGCACCGTGCGTATAACATAGAGAATACAGAAATACAAGGAATCGCCAGCATGAGTATATGGACAGAGTACGAGAAGAAGATTAGTGGCGGAGTTGATCATTGAACTAGGTGACGATATTAGCGATAGTGACTTTTTTCTAAGTGACTTAATGATGATACTATGTATAAATGTAATGAAATAGAACGTAACATGTTACTTTGTACTAATTTTTTTATGTACATGTTTCAAGAATTGCTCGGCGAAAAAGATTGAAAACAGACTTATATCCCGCTTGTTAGTGTAGGTAGATAAATTCCTAGGACGGTCCTGGAATGTGGTTTTGGAGTAATAAACAGTAGGCAAAGTTAATCGCGGGGTCGGTAGTAAAATCACTATATTTCTGGTCGAAGTATACCTCGTTAAATGGAGAATCCGCACGGTACCAGAGGGTGGTTCGACTTGTAAACCCACAAATTTAAAATTTATTTCGTACATATATGTATCGTCGGGGCTGAGGCCAAATGGCGTGGCCCTTATTACCTAATTCCGAAGGCAATCGTGACAACGCGTAATTGGCACGGGGTGACATTAGGTGTTCGTAAGGACGTCAGCTGACTATGTGGGCGAGCTGAGGGTTAATTGAACGTTATTGGAAGTCCACCCTTTGCCAGGTCCGGCTTTCGATAGTTCCTGTTAATGCGAAAAAAGATCGTTTCCAAAATTGAAAATCAACGTTGGCCTTTATTTTCAACCCACACA